CCCTCTCTCTCAACCAATCAGCGCTCAGTAATTTTGCCCTTTATTGATAAAACAGTTAAACTCAGTCGAGTCTGCTGATTGAGTCCAGTACGTTAGAAGACCGGTTATCCCTTGTAAACGGGGCAAAGTTTACGAAAACGTTTTTGTTTTCTCTCCTCTTATGTTGATTGGGGAGGGGTGGGGCTCAAACTTTGGGTCACTCTACCACACCCCTATCACTCTTTATTCGTGCCTCTCTGAAACTTGACAGGAAAGAGATTGTTTTGCTTAGCTACGCAATAGCCTGAACAATTAAAAATAAAAGCACCACATTACTAAAATGCATTTTACAAGGAATCGATGTTTAAGTTAAAAACCAATCAACGTCTGTCATTCTGTGTCAAAATGGAGTCCAGTCCCGTTCAATTTTGTCAGGAACGTTTCTTCAAATTGCTTGTTTAATTCTTCACTGAAGAGGCTCCTCCAGTCTCCAATCTGACCCTTGCGAAGCAAGTTTGGTTTTGTAGCATATTTCGAAAAGACATAAGAGTTGGAGTTTTTCTTCATTTCTGCAAACGTACACTGGTGGGTGATTTTGCGGATTATTTCATCTGAAAGTGGCTTCTCGAGAAATTCGCTGATTAGTCGAACGTTACCACAAAGATCCTGAAAGGTAAATGGCTTTTTAAGGAAATCATTACTAGTTTAGACTTGTGCAACTACTCACTCTTTATATATAGGGGTTTTATGGTCGCATAATATCCGCTCCCTTACTGCGAGCAGTCTCGGATTCGCCTTTCAATCGTGGGATTAGTGAAGGTTGATCTTATGTATTTGTAATTCAACCAAAACACAGATGAGTAAAATATGAAAATTGTTCACCTTCTTTAGACCTTCATATTTTAGAAATAAGACGTGAGGTTCGTCTCTGTGTTTCCACCAGGGTACCACGTGATCACACCAAAAGCCATAGGAATCTGTGGGAAATTATTTAAATTTACAATCATTTCATTTGATCACAGATATATAACGGTTTATGGAGGTTTCGCCCCATTGCAAGTTCGTTCTCCTACCTCCTTTGCGAGTTTGCCCCGAGAAGTGAAACAAGTTCGCACCCACCTTCCT